GGGGGGGGGGGGGGGGGGGGTGTTATTGCTTAGCCTGTCGATCGATCGAACCATCAGTCTGAGACTGGTCGGCTCTTCGGGCAGCGTGATGACGGTTCAATCGGTCGACAGGCTAAGTAATGCCAAGTAGTATGACTTTTTTTTTGATGAGCAGCGTGATGATCGAACCGTTAAAATTAGATAAGTTTTGTTAATCATTGATCTTATCTATCATTGATCTTATCTGATTAATATGCATTATCAGCTTGTAAATTAGATAGATAGACGACTGGCGGAAGAGGGATTTGAACCCCAGACATCCGAATTATGATTCCGCTGCTCTAACCTACTCAACCATTCCGGTTCAAGAATTTGTGTTTATCACAATAGTATAACACATTTGTGCATCTAAACTGGTAAATAGAAGGCGATGCATGTATCTCGGTCGATGAAAGAGCGTAGTGATTGTTATTACTTTTATTATTATATTATTACTATATTATTATTATATTGATTTTATATGTTTATTTTATATTTATTTTATATTTATTTTATATTTATTTTATTTAAAAAAAAAGGAAAGGCGACGGCCTTGAGGGTATCATCGTTGAATTGATTGGCCCTAGGTAAGTCTAAACTTCTCTAAACTGTATTACCGCTGTGTTATTCCTTGGGTTCCATCTGTCAGGTAAGTCAAAATTATTTGATTTCGTTCACATCTAGTTCCATCATCTGGATTCGAACTCAGGTCTGTATTTCAACATCTCGTGGGTGTACACACTGACACTGAGCTTAGCCCGTTAGATAGATAAGAGCCGTTAGATATTATATATAGATAAGAGCTTTGCGATGTCACAGTTGCTCATTCCCATCTTTCCGGAATAGGAAAGTACGATCAATGGCAGGTGCACTGAACCCTTCTGGGAAAAAAAAAAAAAGGACCGTCGAGATTTCAGAGATTTTTCGAAAGTAAGAAAATGGGAAGCGAAAAAAAAAAAGGCTTCGAAATTTAAGGAAGATACGTCACGGAAACATCACTTGTGCCGATTACCATCTCTCTCTCTCTCTCCGTCGCGGAAACATCACTTGTGCCGATTACCATCTCTCTCTCTCTCTCTCTCTCTCTCTCTCTCTCTCTCTCTCTCCCTTCTGCTCCCTCGCTCTGCCCGGCTGTCTGTCTCTCTAGAGTCTCTAACTCTCGCTCTGTATGCCTGTCCCTTCCCTCTCTCTCTGTTACGCTCTGTCTCCAACTTCCGTCCCCCCGCTGACCTGTCCCTGTCTGCTTCTGTCTGTCTTTTGGTCCCTATAAATGCGATAGGCGTCGTGAATGCATGAAAAGCAAGATTCCGGATAGATACAGTTGTAATGCGCATGCGTTTTGCTCGGGATT